TTTCCAACAAAAAAATCTCATTTTCATGAAAATTCTCTATCAGAGTAATTCACTTGGGGTGCATGAAAGAAAACCTGTAAATTCAACGTCCTCTATTCCACTAGCGAGGGTTTACACAGATACCGAAAACTCAATGACGAATGTAACTTCGACAGCCACACTTCCTGAAACAAACGTGTTTTTCCCACTCCTTACTTAGTAAAGGCCGAAAAATTTAATTTGTTGCATACAGTTGTACTCGGTATCACTACCTAAATATGACGGTAATCAGCTCGACTGAGGCCCGATTCAAAAGTACACCGTTTCTAATGAGGCATCACGTCACTTCAGGTCCCAGGTATGAATTCACACAGTATCGCTCCGATTATTATGACAATTATTTCATTGATCATGACGTGTAGGATCTGATAAAATATTTAGGCACGACTCACCGATTATTCTAAGAAAATTGACACGTTTACAGCGGTGACCCAGACCCTTGATGGGGCGCATCATGTGGTCTACGTTTGGTTTTAGCCGCATGTCGACCGACTTCTCACGGTTATTTAGACCGACCACGTTTCGGAGTTTTATTTACCCTGGAGCATCAATCTCCATGAACAACCGGTCAACCATATAATCAGAATAAACTGAGGATTGCGCGTGAAGATGAAGTCCGGTGGACGACCAGTCGGAACCAGTATGTTAGCCTAAACCACTACTTATAAGTAACCATAATCTGAATGCGAAATTTAACTTTAAACTGTAATTTAAGCATGCTAAGCACGTTTCCCCGAATACTTATCCTGTGGCAATGCATTCTAATCTAGAACACTTTTCATTTTTTTTCATGGGTTAATGATGGCCAAAAATGAAAAGATTGAAATGCTGATCGGCCACCAACACCAGTGGATGTCAATCCATCTACTTTGCATATTGTACTCAGGTGGCCAAAGGTTGGAACCTCATTAAGTGTTGAGAGTTAAATTTTCCTGTGGGATTCTTACGCCAAATGCACTTTCAATAATCCAGACTACCAAAAGAAATGACCTGTGGGGTCATGTGATGCTCCGTGATTTGTCGTTCTCGAGTAGGATAACTTTTCATCCTGCCAGCTGCCTCGGCAGACATCGCTCACCGTGGAAACCTATTTGGTGACATGTGCAGCACATATCCCAACCAGTGGACGACCTCGATGACCTAAAACTCTGCCCCTGACCTTAGCATTGCTCATCCAGTTTCTCCATCAGACTCGTGCGATGCGACGTAGACAGTGGTGTCCGAACACCGACAATCTATTTTTTACCCAGTTCTGCACCGTAAAGCAGCACTGGCCGAACTGCTGCAGTATATACTCGACACTTAACAGAGCCGGATGTAAACTGCTGTAATCAAACTGGAATCTCGACCAGGACATTTTTGGAATACGGACTATGTTTGGGGGCGGAGGAAGGGAGATACTGATGCACCGATATGAAAAAGTTGCTTCACGATTAGCATTTCGTATTCAGAATGCCAAGTAACAACCAAATGCTATGGGAATGTTTGTGATGACCAACAAGCGGCACTGGATAGTCTTTTCGTCCCGTCATCAGTGCACGTCCTTTGTGTCCCTGTTAGGACTCGAAGCGCGATCAGTTGAGTTGGGACTTCAAACCCTTACCCCTGAGCTACACGGCCGACGGTCATCCGAACTTCATACTCTAAACAGAGTAAAAACCAACTGGAGCTGCCAGAATCGTCCGAACGAATGTACGTGACGGGAAAAAAACAAAGTGTAACGTTTATCGGTGAGACATCGAGGGCGATTGCCTGAAACATGCAACATCTTGATCCTCATTTTGAATAGGAGCTATATAACTAGTTTGTGAAGTTTCTGAAAACTACTACTGCTTCAACTAATGACACTTGGCGGAATATTCAATAGTATGTTAGTTTCATGTACAGCCGCATCACTGGGAGCTCCCCTCTCACAGAACAGTCAGATTTTTACATAGTTACAGATGAATTCTCAATTTCACTCCTGCAAGCACAAACAGTAATTACAGATCACCAATGTGGATTTCTGCTCAACGCGAACCCAGCTCTACCGTACAAGCACACGCAGTTCATACTTCATTATTATTAACCATGCATTTTCGTGCGCCGGTTTTGATTGTTGTCTTTTGGTGCCTCATTTGGATAGAAGAGCAGAATGAAGATTGAAATGTTGGAAGCCAAGATGAGTAATTCATATAGAATGGACAAGCAAACGCAGAACCCAATGGGTTGCTTCCAGATCACGGTAAAAGAATATTCTCATGAAAGCCAGTAGGTGATTTAGTTTCTATTCATTCTGTTTTAATTAGACACGAGCATGTGATGGACAACAGTCGGGGGTAGACCTCGTATTCACAAAGACCTGCTGCTGTTCACTGACGGAAATCGCAATCTAAGCCTCGCGGGACTTGGAGTGACGAACCACTGAGGTTCTGGTATAGAACCGAGCGACCGTAAAGCTGCCTGCCACCGAAATAGGGTGGCGGAGCTTGAACCTCAAACCGCAATGGGCGAAAAACATGCCGGTAACTATGTATTAATACCAGAGCTAAAACCAACAGCAAAATGCGGAATAACCACTGCCTGCCTCATTGGTTTCACGTCTCAAGTCATTCAGGGTCCAGGCCGAAACAGCTAATCCAACGGTTCCGGTACACACGTTCGCCCGAAAACGATCAATGCTTTATCCATCCGTGTTATTGCGAATAGCATGCATTTCTTACCTGATCGATAGAGATCATGTGATATCTTTGTCTAAAGCTGAATCGATCGACCATGAAAGGTAAAACGAACCTGGCAAAATACAGCCTTTCGGCACCAAAACTCACTTGCTCGCTCGCTCCGGCTGAATTTGATCGTATAGGGCTTGTACACTCACTCTACTTGTTGATCAGTCTGCAGTTGCGTTCATCCACGTGCGCTTATGTGCACTACCCAGAACGCTCGATTGAAAATAAAAATGGACTGGTACGGATTCCAACACCGATCCTAAGAGGACCAGTATGTCATTTTGTAACCGTTAATCTCCTGATCATCATTGATCAACCGCGCGCTCTCTCGGCTGTCCTCAGGATTACTCACCGTTGCCTGTGATAGTCACAGTGTAGTTGTTCACGCGTATGCACCGAAGCTGGGCTCAAACTACATCTGAGTCTCTAGTCTGTGTCAAACAAATCAAGGTACCATAATTTTGGTGAAAAGAAAAAGCTCCTTGATTTGATCGAGTGTTTGAAACTGCTACGTTGTCCAGGTGAATTTTCTTGGAGTTCACAACCTACAGCTCTCGCTTGTTCAAAATTATACGTCTAATGCGGACCGGGTATCTGTGTCGATCAAATCTTCATTCTCGGACAGTTGACAGATCGTTGTTACGCCCATAAAAGATAGATATTATTAGACATTCAATCGACCTCGGACTCCACTATGATAAATGGAGTACCCGAGAAATTTGTCTGCAAACGTTTCACCACCAGTCGAGGTGATATCGTTAGTGCTTATGAAGTGTTCCGCGTGTACTCGTTCGCATACAAATGTGTTTGTCCTTTGTTCTCATTGTGTTCGACTTAGTTCGCCGTTGTACTGGTGCGAGGGGATGAAGATGGGAGTCCTTCGTCTGTCTTGATTACGGTTTTGGTCAGTTCTCAGGTAACGTGATCTTTTATTACCTCATTGGATCGTCGAGTTGCGTTGGCGTGCACACGTGATCCAGTTCGATGTGTCTATTTATTGAGTTGAGTACCAGTAGAACACAGCCGCTTCACAAGTACTGAAAATATCACCTTAGCAAGCAAACTGCCAAGCTCGGCGAACAAACGAAACGATTTCATCTCCCCCGCCATTACTTTACTTACAACATTAGTTACATGCTAATTGTACGACTAATTTGATCAACCAAAAAAGAACACCAGAAGATTGAGTCATGCGAAGACTGGACAAACAATATGTGAAGCAAGTGTTTCGACAAAACGAAGTCCTATCCAAAATTACCGCAGACAGCACCAGCGCTAGCAAGTGAAATGCAGCAATGGTCAACTCGAATGAATCCATCATCACTGCTGCTACTCTGTGCTGAATAGATCCGTCCCTCCCCTCCCCCTAATCAAAGCTATCACAAGTAACCTACCGACCCGGGTCGATCTGCTCACTAATCCCATCAAGATGAAATTTCGAATAAACGAAAGAACTTGTCGGACGAGAATACGGGTTTGAGTCGGGGATTGTTCGTTCCGATTTCTTCGTGATCAGCAGACCAGGAATCCGACAAGGGAGTAATGGATATGCGATCCCCGTTGGCGTGAACAAAGCTACAATGTGTCTACCTAGACCTTATATCAACCAGTTGAAATTCGCCGAATGGTTTAGGACTATACTATACATGAATTAGCCTGAACTAGCACACATGACCCGTTTGGCAGTCTACCCGACCAAACAGAACGCGCACATTCCATTCACTTCAAGTTGATGTAACTCGGTACACGTAAGGGTGGCATGAACCGGGGGGAGATCAACAGGTATCTGGGATTAGATCATTGTCCTCTGTGCGACCGATCAATCAATCAATCACGGTAGGACAGCGCCAAAAGGGGTTCGAGCACACGTGAAGCGGGAGCAACAGCAGCACGTCAGAACCAATGTCAAGATTAGGATACGCTGGGAGCAAATACAAATCAGACACCTGAGCAACACGTTTCCCCTTCCACAACAGGTATTACCGGGGTACAGACAGACATAAACAGACAGACTAGTTCCCGTAAAGGGACCACAAGGAATATAAGGGGGGGAGGGGAAAGGGACACGGGACAAGATACAGGTGAGATGGGGAAAGACAAGCGAACTGCACAGGAATGATCGTTCATCATTTTCGGCTCCGGTTCCAGTTGAGTTCACAGAAGCCCAGTGAACCCAACACGTATCCTGTGTGTACCGATCCCCTTCTGGAGACTAGGACCCCGGGGAGTGGGGTGGGTGGGATCGGGGTGAAATTAGTCTTCCAAGAAGAAATAGTTTCCGCACTTCTTCTGGTCCACATCTTTCACCGAATTCAATTTGTTGATTCGTGGTCTGGCGTTGGTTGGATCTCGACGAAAAGTGATATCCAACGACTGAAGGAACTGATTCATTCCAGATACTAGGTGTTGCGGTCTGTTGGAAGTGACGGACAATGAGGTCGGAGAAATGATAGACATAAACGTGACGCGTATAGTAAAGAGAATCGTTGAAAACACGATGTGTAAGTACCTTTGTAATCCGATATCCCGAGGAAAAAAAGACTCGATCGAAATGGATTTTGAAGGTGTAATAGACAGTCAATTCATAATAATAATAATGCATAATAAATAGTAGAAAAAAAGCGAAATACATTTCACATCCAACTCGGAGCTGACAATATCAGTCCGGTTCCTGGATCCATCGATAAAAAACAGAGCAGAGAAGTGTGCTTGCTTATCGTTTCCGTATCAGATAGAGTACACCGGTCAAAAGTGATACAAAATGTCGTCGACAGGATTTGTGTCTCTCAACCTAGTTTAGGCCGAGCAACACTCTTACTCATTTTGTACTTGTGACAGGCAAAAATAAACACCTTACAGTCACAGCAAAAAACGGTGAAATAGAACCGAAGCTGGCATGAAAGATTTAGTTAGCTGGGGTAACACAATGAAGTCTATTACGTTGCCAGCGATTTCGGTTTACGCAACTAACTATTGGCCATGCACTAGAGACAGCTGTTTTCTTTTTCTTGGTTGTCCCTTCGGATGATGGCGTACAGAGAAGATTGGAGAGTCGGAAACAAGCAATGTGAAGATCAAAACGGAGAAACCCCATAGAACACAAGTACAATGACAGTGAATTGATGCACCAGCGCCACTACTGTCACAGATATCGCCCGGTGTCTGTAACTATCGGTTACAAGATACTCTGTAAGAGGCATGCCACAAGTGAGGGGAGGGAGGGATGGGGGCAGATAACGTGAAGTTTCGAAAACTTGAAGGTTTAAGTGGATTTGTTATACAATTTATTCCTATTGCATGTCTGAGACGAAACACGGATGAGCAGATAGGTGACCGTAATTTGTTGATGGATATTATCATATTTTAAGTGGCAAAGAAAGAGAACATGCGTGTTGCCAATCCCATATGCAATCGATAAGTGTGAAACGTTTTTTTGGCGAATTCAGAACAACTGTTCAGATGCGAGTGGCGCTTTGGCTAGGTAGGCTGTAAGGGGACATGGATGGGACCTATTGTGTCTGGGTGTGGTGGATATATTCAAAAGTGCTTTGATTAGAGGAGGGTGTAAATGGGGGCCGATCATGTTCATCAATGGAATAATTGAAAGTGCCACTAAAAACGGTAGGCTGATTGCCACAGAAGGTGAAGATACTTGGTATGAAAAGGAAATATACTACCTGTTCAGCTCACAAAAGCCGAACGAGCATTTGCTTAAGGTTTAACATTTCACTTTTAGTTTTCAGACAGTTCAATTTGGGTTCTAACAACCATTAACCTACACTTTCGTGTACCGATTTTGGTTGCCCATTTGAATAAAAAAGAGCAGAATGAGGACTGGAATGTTAAGAGAAGATTCAACGAGAAGATAGAGAATTCATACAGTCTGGGATTGCAACATTAATGGGTAGATGCACGAGCTCCACTGTTTACGATACTTAGCCATATCACGCAGTGTCCCTAACCACCGGTTACCATGATCTCGGGGTTCCCAGTCAGGGAACCTAACGGGACCTATGTGACCCAATACCCTAGTTAGGGTTTTTACTCCATCATGCCAGGTCTTAGTTTGACCACCCTTGACCTTTTTCCATCGGCTGCCTGCCTCGGAAAACCACTTGTTCCAGTGGACGACCGCGATTACCAAAAGTATACACGTAACCTCAGCATTGCCCGTTCGGTTATCCCACCAGATTCGTGCAATACGACGTGGACAGCGGTGTTCGAACACCGTCAATCTATTATTTTGTTCTCGTACAGGCCAGCCAGACAAATATCTGGAATCGGGGTGATGTGAGCGATGGTGCAACATGCTAGTACAACTTGAGGACGGCGGGCCGGAGTGGGGTATTGGCCCCATGTGCATATATCCATACATCATGAACAGATGACACTGTGGAAACATGATCAGTGTCGCTGGGAGGTGAACAACATCCGAGTCTTTGGTACACATGACGACATTTGACCGGAAAGCGATCTGAATGGGACTGGCTAGTTTATCCGTCTGATACAACGCGCTTCGAAGGCGGGATTCAACCAGTACCGCAACAGAAAATGAATCATGGGAGGTATAAAAAACGCCTATTGATAACATCCATTCTACCATATGAGTCGTCAACGTTTTAGGTGGATTTGAAACGCTTCGTATGAAATCAAACAAATCAGGGTTTGGGAGAAATTAGCTTGGAAGAAGCGAAAAATTAGAAACCACATGAAGAATGAAACTGGAGAGTGAAAGATAAGGATAACCAACTCATCACTACCCTTCCAATGTCGTTCATGTCTCGATGCAGAACCAATTTTAAGACGGAGGCTTAAATTCTTCTACCCTTGGAAATGGACGGAGAAAAATCGACCCATTCTGGTATTTAAGCAATATAAGTAGTTTATCTCTCGGATAACCTCAGTTCCGGATGACGGACTTGTGTAGCAAAGGACAACCGGTGCGACGAAGGGTGGTGATGGTAGCAGTCAAGCGGTTTCAGTGACTCATTAAGTACTCCAAGGTTCAAGATTCGAATCCCACTACCGCCATTTGACCGTAGCAATTGGTAGCATAGCCATAGACCGACTCAATATGGCACCCTATATCATTATAGCCCTATCCCGGGGTTTGAAGTCGCCAGTTGCCCCAATTGTGTGCACACTTTCCACTTGTCATTATGCAATGTGCAAAGAAAATCCGAATTGTATTCAAAAAGGGGCTCGATCACAGCTCTGATGAATCCTGATTAGGGGGAATGTGTGTGTGTATAGAGTAAAATTCCCAAATAAAATTGCTTCTGCTTAGTATCAGTGATGCATTATTGTAGATAGCTACTGTGTCACAAAATAGCATTTCTCGACCGCCTAACACGTGTCGATTGATTTATCACCGCTGGTTTCGGATCGGATGACGTCAACCAAGCAACGTCCAATAGTCGGGGAAATCGCCGTAGAGAGAGGTTTATGTCATCGTGATACAATGGAATACAGAGAACATCTAGCATCATAAGATTA